GCACCATATTATAAGTAACATATTTATACTTCTGTTTAATTGATTGACTTAAAATATTTTCTATGACATCCTGCTATGACGAGGATCTATCCCACTAATATGATTGTCTCTATCAATTTTAGACATTGTTTATTAATTTTCTAATAAGATAGGTAAGCATTTAGCTACTTACTCCATCCTATCTCCTCCCACTATTGTTCCATCTCTACTTACAATTCCCCCTCTGGTCACCTCTAGGGCCTCGAACACTATACTTAAAACTCCATTTCTCTTTGCATCAACTATAGGGAGCATCTTCTCACTTTGAAGCACAGGAATATTAATAAGCCCTTCCTTCTCTCCACTTGTATTACCCCCTCCACAACAATCTCTTCATCTTTCAAAATCTCTCAGCTCTCCCTTTGATTTGCCATTGTCAAGTTGATAACATTTTCATTCTATTTTGTAACCACAAAGAAATCTTCTATTACTTGCTGGTACCTGCAGGGTATCTATACATATATACATACATACATACATAAATATATATATGATACATGATATCAAATATATATATTATCTTATATAAAAAATATATATATTAGGACTCTTTTAGTAGCAAGTTACAGAAAATTCAACTCAAAGCAAATGAAGCAGAAAAAAATTAGTTTGCTCGCATAATGGCAAAGTGTAGGAAAAGATGCAGCCTCATGCGAAACTTAATCCAAAAATGTTATTAGGACCTCGTTTCTCTCTCTCCTCCAACTCTTAAATTCTGCTTTCTGTTGCTCCCATTCTGAGTAAGCTCTCCCTTCAAGGAGGCAAGATGTTGGCAGTTGTTCCAGGTTTTCACTCTTCCAAGTTCAAATCCAGTAAATCCAGTAAGTCAAATTTGAGGATTCATTCTGATTGGAACAATGTGTTCTCATGCTCAACCCCGAGACCACTGCTGGGAGCAGAGGACTGGGTATGCTGGTTATCTACCCCCCACCTCTGGAACCAGGACTGGAGCTCTACCTAGAGCATAGAAGGGGCTCCTCCAGCAGGAAACCAGGGTGCTGTTATCCAAAGAAAGGAGGAAAGGAGACTGAGCACCAACAGTAACAAATACCCACCCTCAACTACAAACTCTAATGTCTTCAGAGTTCTGTTTATATAAACTCGTGAGCTGAATGAGCAGAAGATACAGAGAGTGGTGGTGGTTCCTGTGATCTAACAGCGGTGCAATAAAGTTTTGAAAATGGCATTGGCTAAATGAAACACAGATAGAGAACTAATTTTGCTTGAGAGCCACCGGTGTGCAACTATTGGTCTGTCTATTAATTCTGAAAGTTAAAAAATGCAAATAGTATTTATATTATAATAGCTACGTAAACAGTTTTTACAGCAGAGTGAATTAATGTTTTCAAACTTCCCAGGATTCCTGTCATGACTACTGCAGCACACAGATGACCCTGGTCTCCGTCTGCAAAGATTCTGCCTCCTTACTCTCCACCCGCTGAATCCAGAATCCAGCGGCATTTCAGTTTACTGCATACTTATACCATACTCTGAATGGCAGATATTGTTGCCTGCCCACTGCCACTGCCTCACTCGTCCTTGCTAGGACCTTTGTTTTCCTTGGTTGCCGTCACTGATGTTGCAGTTCTTCTCAAATGTCTTGTGATCTATTTGTACTTTTACAAGAGGTAGGAGTTTGAAGCTTGATTGGGAACTCTATGAATGTTGGTGGGATTTATCAACGGATCAGTTCATTTTAAGTTAATAGGCAGGGAGCTTTCTGCTATTATGTTGGATCCTAGATAAAAACCAAGAGAGTCTTTATTTTTTGAGTAGTGACATCTATATCGGCTACTCTTACTAGTTCATTAGACAGTTCATTAAACAGTTGATTAAAAAATTGATTAGACAGTTCATTAAATAGTTTAGGTTAAGTTTAGATAAGACCCTGTTACCACCTTAATTTTTATTTTATTTACTTATTCATTTATTAATTTTAGTCATTTCATTCATTTATTCATTTTATTTATTCGCTGTGTAGCAGATGGAGGAGGATATAGGAAACTTTTGACTTCCATATTCAGACCTTCAATTACTCCCACATGTTTTGACCTACCCTTAAGTTCCGCCGTCCCCGCTAGCCAACTCCAGAGCTTGCATGGGGTTCTATTCGGCATGCTGGCTATTTTTCTTTCATTAGTTAATACTTTATATGCTTTTTGTTCTACGGAATTTGTTGTTTTCTTTTATATTAATGGCCTATTCTCTTTAGTGTTGTGAATTTAAGCCTTTAAAAGAAGTCCATTACTACTATCTTAATGGTTCCTTAGAAAGGGGATGATATAAATACATGTGCTTAATTAGCACACCATATTAAACCTGGTCTCTGCATCCCTCGTTTTAATAGCTGTATAGTAATCCATTGTATAGATGTATTTTTTTCATATATTAACTTGTCTTCTACTGATTAACGATAAATTTTGTGACTCCAAACACTGCTGCCATGAACATTTTGGACATACCTTTAAGCTCATGTATATCCGTAGAATAGATTCCTAGAGGTAGAGAGTTGAAGGTTGGCAAGTCCCTCTTTGGAGTGTGTGTGTTTTCGGAAAGTGATATTGTATAGTGATTAAAAGCATGAACTCTGGGGCCAGGCTGCCTGGGCTCATAATCCTGGATCTCTTCCTTAGCATTACTGTGACCTTGGGCAAGTTACTTAAGTTTCTCTGTCTTGTTTTTCTAATGAGTAGAAAGGAGAATTGATAATATCACCTTTCTCCTAGGGTTGTAAGGATTAAATGAATTAATTTGCTGAGATTCATTTCTGATAATAAAATCTCAGTAACTATTATCTGTTAATGGTACCATTCTAGGTCAGACTTAGCAACCACACTAGTTAAAAAAAAAAAGCCACTATATTTGGTGGGCTGGAGTGGGCACTCTGGCTAGCGCTCCTGGGCACGGCCCTTCGGGGAGGTAATGTGGTTCCCTCTCAGCAGGGCTGCAAACTGGGGAACAAGAAGAGAGATACAGCTGACCTTGGAGAGGGGCTCAGAGCTTTCTCACCTAGTAGTTATTGAATGCAGCCACGTGACAGCTGCGCTGTTAACTGCTTTTCCCTCTAGTTCTAGACAGTGCTTGGCACATAGATGAATGAATGAAGCCAGGTTTAAGAATAATTTTTTTCATCTCTTTAATTCATTCCCGTCATCCTCAAGCCTTTAATAAAGTCTCATTAACCTTACTTATAGCCTAGTTCTACTGCAAGCATGCTTGGGAGGGAGGGGACCGAGGAGGAGGGGCATGTGAAGGAAGCATCACTGAGTCATCCTGCCTGAGTTCAGGGTAGCAACCAGAGCAGAAGAGAAGTAAACACAATTCCTGGGCCTTCCTGGGAATACTTGTGCGGGAGCCCACTAAGAGCCTGGACTTTCTGCTACCCTGCAGGACCGCTTGCACTTAGGTATTGAAAGGAGAAGACCTCTCCAGACTGGGAAGTCTGGCATATTTAAGTTAGCCCAGGGCCTGCTATATGGTAGTCTCTAAGTAAATGGCAGCTTTTTATATCTTATTCCTACATTTTGGTAAGGACAAATAAAATCTGCATTTGATGCCATATCCACTCTTCCTCAAGTCGTACCTGACTTTGTGTGTTATGGATATGATTGCCCGTTCAAGGCCTCGTCCCAGTACAGCTGTTAGGTCAGCGAGGTGATCATCAGGTCGAATGAGACTTGGAGACCAGACAGGGTAGCAGGGATCGTGAACTTTCTATCGACCCTCCTCAGGAGCATAACCTTGCTTCTTGAAAATTTCAAAGAATCTGTTTCTGTCTCTGTAAAATGGGGATTAGTGCTATAATATCTACCATCTGTCTGGGCTTAAGAGCACATCTTGACATTAAATTAAAAGAGAGAGCAACTGAATAAATTAGAATGGGTAACACACCTTGAAATCTTGACCCAAAGTCACTATTAATGGTAAAACCATTATGGTATTATATTTCTCTAACATTCCTAGCAGATGTTTGGCTACAGAAAAAAATCTTGATTTTGAGTACTGTCTTAGAATATGGTTATATATTCATATATTAATGTCTTGAAAAATAGAAGATCTATGTTCAAAAAGTGGTTATTTTCTGAAATTAAGTAATAAATGCAATAAAAGGACAGAGCACATATTCATACACATAAAATACCTGTGTTAATTGTTCATTTTGGCTCTTTTTTTTGTTCATTTTGTTTTTTGGTGTCATTGAAAATGAATCAAGGACTTAGCATGAATAGCAAAAAACCGAATTAACAAAGACACATTTATAGTCACCAGCAGGGACAATATGGATACTGAAGCCAGGAAGCTTGTCTGGAGCCAGGAGAGCTCCAGAAATGTCCCGATGGTATCAAACCCCAACTTAGATCTCTCCAGACAAAAGATTCGAGTCTACCTCTAATTTTAATAATGAAACAGATGTCAAGGTCGAGGACCCTCTTGGGGTCTTCATTTGTGATGGATATCTGGGTGGTGTTTGTTTTGTTTGGGGGAATAAATATTTGAAAGGAGTAACTGAAGATGGTTATGCTGCTGTTATGATGTTATTGATACACAGGCTGACGCTATTATGGAGGATGCTATCAGGCTACATTATCTTTATGCCTCCAAGGTAACCTGAAGCAACTGTCTATTGACGTGGCACCACCTTACACTAAAGCGTCTGCCCTGCCTGGGGACTGTAACCCAAGCCAACCACATGCCTCACAGACAGCTTTCTTTAGCCACTGACAACATCAAGGAAGGAAGAGCATGAAATCATCCGGCATGAACGCTTCCGAAGGGGGAATTAGTGGCTGAGTGACTCTCACGGAGGGTGGCCTTGCCATCTTCTGATCTATTTAGGGGCAACCACTAGAAAGTCTCTTCAAGCAAGGAAATAAAGTTTTACAAGAAGGAAACTGAAGGTGATCTGAACCCCTGGAAACTTTTCTTTCCCCTTTGAGCTTTGCCATGTTTCACTGCAAGTCATGTCAACGTGGAAAGCAAGGCTCGCCAAAAGACTGAAATTTCCATGTAGAACGATGCACCCGTTCCCGTGCTCAGCCCTGCTGGCCTGTTTTGGGAATACGAGGGAGACTGCTCCCTTCGACCAGCCCAGTACAGCCGAAGCTCATTCCACCATCTACGATCAGCCCGTGGCCAAAGCGGGCCGACAACCAAGTCACTCAGGAGGAGAAGGAACTTTAGAAAAAAGGCAAGATTCCAGCACCCATTCGGAGAGAAATGGCAGTGCCAATCGGAATTCAAGGAACCACACTGCTGTCCAGCCTACTGGGACCTCTGAGGATGGGCCTGGGTCCCTGGATGCTGAATTGGACTGTGAAGCGGTTACTTTTGAGACTCCTATCCCCAGAGCATCAATTATTGAGCTGCCAACGGTGAGTATTCCCGATGCTGTTGCAGAAGGGATGGTGTTGCAGCAGAGTGCTGGCCATTTGCTGAACGCCTTCAGGGGACAAACTTGTTTAACATCATAAGTGCATAAGACATTGAGGAAGTGCGTAAAGCCTTTTAAATTCTCATAAAGTTCTCAAAGGATGTGGAAGAAGACAATGACGATATGCACTGGGGCCTTAGTAATGACCAATGTTGGCCTTTAATTAACTGCCCATGGTGCTTCAGAGCCAACAATGTCTCAACAAAAGATAAGGAGTAACATAATCTTTTTTTTTTAATTGGTCCACGAATTTATTTATATGAAAATCCACACTATGAAAAGTTGGGTTATAGAATTTAAGAAATCATGTCTACATTAAATGAATCACATGATATCAAAGCAATACGGGAAAATTTGGGCATGACAATCACTGTATGCATAGCAGTAAAAGAGGAACTGACTGATACAACTGCTCATAATATAGAAGTTTCTGTGATTGTTTTCTGAGACTTAAAAGCAGGAGAATGAAGTTATTTGAAAAATATGGTGCTGCTGCATCTTGAGTTATTTATCTCGGTTCCTTGTTTTGGTATTACTGAATTTTAATTGTCGACTATTCTGATTGAATGGAGCTGCACAATCATTTCAAAATTCTTGGTAATTCCAATTTAGGGAGGCAGTCTAGAGGCAGGGTTTCTTAAATCACATTTTCCAAAGATACTCCCTGAGCAATTTTTGGTCATATTTCTGGCCAAATAGCTTAGGACCAGAATTATACAACTGAGAAGTCTTCAGGGATCCATTACTAAGATATTCTGATTTTTTTAAAAAACAATTTTTTCATCAAGTTTAACAAATCATTTTTGTTTGACTTGCTGACTTGAATCCAAGAAGCCTCATTAGCAATGAAAACTGCCAAACAGTGAAGACAGGGCTAAAAGATAATTTTAAAAAGTTTTATTTAACATTTTACAAGCTTATATTAAATAATTAAATGGACAGAGGATTTCACCAAGCCCTCTGTTATAGCAAGAACTATAATGTATTTTTGTAGCAATACTAAACTGAACCCCAAACAAAACCTAATACATTTGTTCAATTTTTCAGTTTATACTCATACCCAGATTAAGATATTTTTAGTAGTATTATAGTTAGCTGAGTAGACATCAAGGCCAACTTTATATTTGTTGCATATTAAAGGAACTAAGGTGTACTGTTTTTAATGAACTGGGAGACATTCTGTTGAATAGAGATTCTAGTAACTCAGGACCCACCTTATATTGCAAAGTATAGCAGCAACTATAGAGAGTTGATTTGATTTTATCTTTCTGTTTTAGGGGCATATATAAGGCCTCAAGGTAAATATGTGTATTCAGAAATAAGCAGTTAAATAGCACGGTAACATCCATATTTACTATCCACTTGGCAAGAGCTAACCCATGGAGAGACTACAGAGGTCAACAAGCTTTACGAAGGAACAAGATATAATGCAAGGCTGAATATAAATGTCCCAAAAAGAGACACACATAGGACGGATCAAAGGAGGCTGGAGGGTCTGGAAAGGTACATTGCAGGGGAGGTAGAATTTGAGATTGGTCTAGAAGGAGGGTTAGGATTTTTAAAAACAGAGATAAAAGAGAGGATGTTGAAATAAAAGGAAATTGTATAAACAAAACCATGGATGTAGGGGAAGGTAGCACAGGAATAGGTTCATCAGATTGGCTAAATTGGAGATACCTGGGAAGGCAGATTGAGGCCAAAAGCGGGATGTCTTGAATGCTGTAGTGAGAAATTAATTTTGAGCAGAGAAACGCATGCTTGGGATTTCACTCTGGGACGACATATAGGTAGAGTCACATGGGACGGAGAAGAGTTGGGAAGACTGCAGTTGGGAAGCCACTGTAATAATCCTGGCCTGAGCACATTTATAAAAGGAACAGCAGGAAGGGGAGAAGGGACCCCCATCAGGTTACAGATGCAGTAGTTGACTCTAGGGTGATGAAACACTGCAAAATCAAGTGCCAAATGGTCATTGAATCTAGTTCATGTGTGAGAAACTAACACGTACAGAATGCCCGCTGTGTGCCGGCCATTCTTCTAAGTGCTTTACATGGAGTAGCCCATCGAACCCTGGTCACAGTGAGGCGCATATTATGACTCCCATTTTACAGATGAGGACATTGACAGAAAGGGCAAGACACAGAAAGTCCAAGGTCACAGAGGGAGGAAGCGGTAGAACCAGGACTGCAGCCCCGTTCTGTTTGATTCCAAAGTCCGACTTCTGAATTATAACATGCTTCTACCGCTCGTTTTTATTATTTGTGTGGTGTTTGAGGATTTATAATCAAATATTCATAGGTGATCTCACTTGACATGCAATCAAATTTAAATTCTATGTAAGTGTATCTGTGTGTGTAATAATAATAATTTGCTTTTTATTAATTTGCTTAACCTTTTTCTATCTTAGTTTCACGGTGTATACACTTTCCACTTTGCATCCTGTGATGACAGGCTTTGTTGATGACAGTGTGGGATTGCTTTGAGATCTTCTGATTAAAAGTGCCATAGGACTGCCCAGATTTTTCATTACCTAGTAATTTTGTCATGACATGTTTCCCTTCATTAGATGATGAATGAGCTTCCTCTGTTATAATCTTGCCCCGCAGCAAAAATATTTCCCTTTTGGATGCACTGATCTCATCATTTAATCTGCCTTGGTAGAGGCAACAAACAATACTTTTTTTTTTTTTTTTTTCCGAGTTCAGCCTCAGGATATAACCATACCTAAGATATGGGGATGAGTTAGTCTCTCTATCCATCTTTAGTTGCCTGGTGTGCAGACAGAAGGATGATTCATTTAAATTTAAAACAACATCTGGTCTTAGGGGAAAAGCTCTTCTAATTGGTGGGATTGTAGAGCCAGTGAAATACAGAAGTGTGCTGTTCATTTTTTGAGCCAAGAGTTACTGTGTTCTTACTCTGTGCCAGGACGGCAAGAGCGCCGGGGAAACAAAGATGATTAAGACACAGTCCCTGAAATTGCTTACATTCTAGTGGAAGATACAGTTGGGTAAAAAGGCAGTGTCAATGCAGGAAGAGAAGGCTGTGGGTCAACTTTGGACGCCACAGGAGGCTCTCATCTTAGCCTTGGGAAGACAGGGAGGCTGAGCTATATGGAGGAGAGGGGTTTCTACATTGTTCTTTTATGATTTCACACAGGACCCAACACTGCACCCTTCCTGGTTGAATAGTGCTGGTTTTCTCTTCTCTCCCTGCCCCCTACCAAGGTTGGCAGGGTAAGAAAGACACAGTTCCCACACTAAGCATTTTCAGATTAGTTTGGTAGTTTCAGAAAGTCTTTCTATAGCAGTTGTAAGTTTTTATCTGGTTCTTACTTCAACAAAGTAGTCAGCCTGACTTAGAAAGAGAAAGTAATTGTGGTTTGGGAAATCATCCCTGGGTATTTTAACTAGAAGTTAGATTTACTAAAAGAAAGGGAAACAGGGCCCATGGTAGTGTTGACAATTGCATTGCTTTCTGTAGCAGGCTGGTTTTGCCTCCAGACAAAGAAGTGGTAACCAGGATATTTTAGAATCCACATGGTGGTCTGGACCAAGCCTCACAGGCTCAGGCAGTCACTATTTTTGAGTGTCTGAGTCCCAGGCATCTAGAAACAGTTTTATCTTTCCCTCAGAGATAGTCTCTTGATACTCACACTTATAAGAGCCTGATATATAAATCAGAATGCTCTGTTAGTTATAAGCCTTGAGGACTGTCAGGGTAGGGCAAAGCTATGACTTTTCTGCACAGGAAAATTACACATAAAGAGAAATGACAGCCAAAAATTTGTTGGAGATTAGAGACTCAGACGAAGGGGGAGCTACAATTTTTTATTTTTATACATACGTAAAATATGTATAACATAAAATTTACCATTTTAATGATGTTTAAGTACACAGTTCTGTGGCATTAAGTACATTCACATTATCGTGCGACCGTCACCATCCATCTCCAAAACTTTTTCCATCTTCCCAAACTGAAACTCTGTGCCCATAAAACACTAACACCCCCTTCTCCTCTCTTCATCCTCTGGCAACCACCACTCTATTCTATGTCTCTGTGAATTTAGTGACCCTAAGTACCTCATGCAAGTGGAATCACACAGTATTTGTCCTTTTGTGTCTCGCTTATTTCACTTAGCATAACGTCCTCAAGGTTTGTCCATGTTGAAACATGTGTCACAAAGTCCTTCCTTTTTAGGGCTGAATAACATTCCATTAGGTGTATATACCACATTTTGTTTACACGTTCATCTACTGAAAAACACCTGGATCATTCCCACCTTTTGACAATTGGGAATAATGCTATTTTGAACATGGGTGTACAAATATCTCTTCGAGATCCTGTTTTCAATTCTTTTGAGTATATACCCAGAAGTGAAATTGCTGGATCATAAGATAATTCCATCTCCGATTTTTCAAGGAACTGACATACTGTTTTCCACACTGGTTGTACCACTCGATATTCCCAATGGCAATATACAGGGCTCCAATTTCTCCAGATCCATGCTTCCACCTGTTGCTTTCTGCAGTTTTTGTTTGTTTTGATAATAAATATCCTAATGGGTATGAAGTGGTATCTTGCTTGATTTTGATTTGCACTTCCCTAACGATTAGTGATGTTGAGCATCTTTTCATGTGCTTATTGGTCATTTGTGATATTTTTTTGAAGAAGTGTCTATTCTAGGCCTTTGCCCATTTTTATTGGTTTTTAAATTTTTTGTTATTGAATTAAAGGATTTCTTTGTGTATTCTGGATATGAACTCCTTGTCAGATATATGATTTGTAAATATTTTCTCCCATTTTTGTGGGAAAATACTTTTCACTTCTGTGATATTGTCCTTTGATGTACAAAATTTTAATTTTGACAAAATCTCATTTATCTATTTTTTTCTTTTGTTGCATGTGCTCTTAGTGTCATATTAAAGAAATCATTGTCAA